GATATGGATAGCATTTGACTTTGTGATTGTCTGAATCTTGCATGTCTATTCAATTCTTGTTAGTCATTCATTTTATTATGGACTAGTCTACCATACATCATTAAAACAAAAATATGATCTTACATGTTTTGAAAGTTGGGGCTCTTTGAATCAACATCATACCCTAAGATTGAAATATAAAATCAAATTATTCCACAAAGTAAGCTAGAGAAAAATAGAGAGTATTTCAACAACAAATCATGTAAAATGAATCAAAAAAGTACGTGGAGAAACTCAGCAATTAAAAACTCTCTTAAGCTCAACCTGATGATCAATGTAGAATTCCAAGTATATAGGTCCTCTATGCCTAAACCTAAGAAGGCCTAGATTTTCCAATATCCATCTCTGCTGTTCCTGGCCTGTTTGATAAGATTTACAATTTCTTCTTTTCTGGTGAATCAGTAGTATCCTGGTTACTGTTTTTTTTTCAATTGACTTCTGAATTCCCTAAAAACTGAAAATCCCTCTTTTAAGGGAGGCAACATGAGGGATCCTTGTGGTAATGGAAATGTTCTGAATCTTGACAGGATCAATGTCAATATCCTAGTTGTGATACTTACTGCAAGATGGAGCCATTGGGGAAACTAGGTAAAGGATACCCAATGTCCCTCTGCATGCTTCTGTATTATGTTTTACAGTTTTCGTGTGACTAAATCTACATTTAACTCAAAATAAAAATATTTTATTTAAAAAATCCAATCAATAAAATAAGCAGATCCTAGTAACAGGCCTATCCTTTGTATATATTTTACTTCTTCTTAATATCTTAGTGCTATTGCACACTTGAAAATTGGCTGAAGTAAATGAGAACTATTTTTGCCCAATGACAGCACTTAGGGAAACTGTATATTTTTAGAAAACGGAAACCTATTTACACAAGGACTACTATATCATTCTGGTTTGACCAGTTGTACTAGAAATAACTTCATTTCTTACAGGGGATTTGGATAACAACATTCATTACCACTTTGTCCCCTTGTGTTTCAAGTGTTTTTAGAAGCTAGAGAGATTGCTCTGGACAGTCCCCCCCAAAATAACCCCAATTTACCAATTCTTGAATAGGGAAAATATTTGTACTAGTCTAGTCTTTAGCTCTCCAATCATAATTCATCTTCACATTCTTTGTGTGTAAGCTTCCTACAGAAAATAACCCTTTCTAAGTATTAAAGTCTTCTTCTCCATAACAAGAATATTTACACAAAGAAAGGGAAGCATCTCAATCCTAAAAGTTCATGAGATACTGGATGCAGGCAGAAGTGCACTCACCCTTCTAACAAAGAGTGTTTACACAAACTGGCTTTTAAAATTGCATTGATGCAAATACCTGCCTCAGAGAAGAATTTAAAAATTACTCTCCTTCACATCAGGGCATTCTGAGCACTGTCAAGAGCTATAGCTAGAACTTTATTGCAAATTGCCAACATGTATGGTAGAACTACAGTGTGTGCAAAGAATGTTTCTTATCTGATATAGTTTTGGTGTGTGGCCCCTACAAATCTCAAGTTGAAATTCGACCCTGACGTGTTGAAATGTGGGCATCGGAGGAGGTGTTTGGTGATGAGAGCGAATCCCTCATGAAAGGTTTGGTGCCTTCCACAATAATTGAGTGAGTTCTCCCTTTTTAGTTTATGTGAGTGCTGGTTGTTTTAAAATGGAGCCTTGGACCCCCTCCTCTACCTCTCTCTTTGTCCTTCTTTCCACATGTGACATGCCGGCATGGCCCCTTCGCCTTCCACCTTTGACTAGAAGGTCCCTGAAGTCCTCACCAGAACAAATGCTTGGTGCCAGGCTTCTTGTACAGTCTGCAGAACTGTGAGCCGAACAAACCTCTTTTCTTTATATAAATTACTCAGCCTCAGGCATTTCTTTATAGCAGTACGAAATGACACTGAGACATTATCCAAGCAATTTTTCTTATTCGAGATGATTATTTCTTAAAGACAAGATTGAAATATCCATTGTAACAATATCAGAGGTGAACATAGCTGTTCTGCCTCCTACTCAAGAAGCAACCCTGGTGTCCTCCCTAGTAGACAATGATTAGATTCTGTGCTCGCAAGAATCAACCCTGGAAACCATCTTCAATAGATGATCGAGTCTGGACTGGGGAAAATGACATGGTTACTCAGTTCAGTTCAAAAGAATAAAAAAAAAAAAAAAAAAAAGAAGAAATTTTAAGCCTTCCCACAAAAAGCTGAGTATCTTCAAGTACAAACCTCATTTACTGTATTTAACAAAGCTTTAAAATACTATTATCTCATAAATGGGTAATTTGCATCA